CCTGAAGTGGCGCCTAAACCCTTTTTTGGCATCGATCGGCTTCCACTGCTACACCACATTGCCACAAGCGCCTTTGCGTCACAATGTAGATGTGAATTCCAAGGAAGGCTAGACCTTTCACATATCACATTTGGATTATCGATAAATCAAACTTGTATTTACCATGTGACTCAAGGAAATTCGTAGCAGCGTTGTAGGGGTCAACCTGTCGCGACTCTACCCCGCACTACCCAGTTGCGAGTCCCTCAAGGAGTGATGAGACTCAAGAAAGTTCCAAACTTTGGTCAACCCTTTATGGGACTACCTTTTGGGAAATAAGACTATGTGAAACAAAATGAAAGCATAAGGCCTCCTCTTATTATTGTGTTAAATTCATCTGCTAGTCTTTAGTCAAACGAAATAGAATAAATACAGCTATTATACTAAATCTACTAATTGTTTCAACAACCTACTTATGAACAAAAATAAGTAATGTAGACTTTATCCCGAATGAAAGAGCCAGCCAGAATGACTGATGCTGATACTTTAGTTAAAAGCCTCTGATAAGGGCATAGATTTTAAGGGAAGCTGGGTTTTGAAGAATCCCTTAAAAATGTCATGTTGTTCTATCTCTCATTTCGTTTATCGAAGTTGGTTTAACGGAATTGTACAATAATCCCATTGGAAACCGGAGAAAGATCGCCATTAAGTTATGATTTGATTTGATCGTAGAAGTGCACAACATTTGGCCTTTCAATTCCGATGAATCCTTGCTGAGCTTGCTTCTGCCCCTATCCATTAGGCACAAGTAGTTTACATTTAATTTATTTACTCGTTTTTTTACTCTGAATCTTTACTGCTTAGTTTATTTCCATGGACTTTGCATTATTACGTGATGTGCATTGAAACGGTGAAATTAATGCATGGACGAAAAATTCATTCATAAGAAAGTATGCACAACTACCAACGGTGTACGGATTAACGAAGATACACAAATTAGGCGGACTTCTAAGGCTAATAATCAGCAATCAATTTTCTCAAAAGATAAAAAAGATGGCACTGGAAGAAATAGAGTCATTGGCAAGTTTTGGTGTACAATTCATGTTTACAAACATCACTGGCGAAAAGACTCTAACGGCCCCACTGGAAGTCTTGGACTGAGAAGAGGATATCCTGGAAGTGGAAAACTCTCAGGAGGGAGTCGTTGACTTGACTATCAACTTGGCAATAAGGACCACCTATTTCACATTCAAAGGGAACATCTATGATCAAACATTTAGACTTCCCATTGGATCGCCGCTTTCACCTCTTTTGGCAAACGTAAACATGAACAAATTCAAAGACAAAGTAAAGTTGTCACGCAGTACCTAGATGACTACTTCACACTTTAGCCGCATAAAATAGAATATTTGGAAGATTTTCTTAAGTGTGTAAACCAGATTGATGAAAGAATCAAATTCACAATAATAGTATAAGAAGAGGAGCTGTTGCGCTGCCCAGATGTTTAAGTAAATTGTTCACAAAGAAATAATATGCCCGAATGATACATAATTTCTACTACAGACTAAAGATAGGAATAATTAGCAGCATGATCATTAGAAATCTACGATTAACGCAGGTGGAATTCTATGATGAAGAATTGGATAAATTAACTCGAATATTCCTCGGCAAGGGATACCTTAGAGAAATAATAGGAAGGAGTATACGGGCCATGGAAAGTCGATGGCAGGACTGAGATTATGAATGAAGATAAGAATGGAGAAAGACTTACAAAAGTGGATATGCCTACCGTCCTGTGAACTAACATAAAAACTACGGCCAATATTAAGGAAAAGGAATATTCAGGTGACCACGAATAAAAAACAACGCTCTTGACAAATTTAACCACGCAACATGAGAGGGTGGACAAATTGGATTGTTAGGGATTTTACTGCAAAGCATGCGGAATTTGCAATCAAAAAATATATCGACGAAACAGGGAGAAATATCAGCATACGAATCAAGGAACATCAAAGGCTCTGCAGAATAATGGATACCGAAATATCAGAATTAGCGGAACACATTTCATAGACTGGAAGGCAACAGAAAAAAGGGCCTAATACAGTGAAAACACAAAGAAATGGAAGATTAGGAAGGCCATCGACATCCTTGGGAAAATAAATTTAATGAACGAGGGTTAGGAAGAAGGCAGAGTTGGCGATAAATAGGCTTATAACCTAAGGTAACTTGGAGAAAACAAAGACACAAGTCAGGCAAAAAGTAGACGTTTGAATCAGGGATCTATCGTTAAACAAAGGAAAAAGGTTCTCAAGAAAGAAGTGGGTGAGGATGATTCGGTTAGCAAGTGAAGACATTCTCAGTGATTTAATCTGCTCGAAAACGCACTACAACTTTGGGGCCCATGGGGAAGATTCGCATGGGAAGCCCAAATGGAATCAGAAATTCTAGAGCAAAGGGTCAGTTATGATGACGCCACACTAAACTAGCCAAAAAGGCCATTTCTTGAGGAGTGAGATATAAACAAGTTAAAAGTTGTTATAGGGCGTGAGTAAGACAAAAGGGTAGGGAGTAGATAAATGGGCCAGGACAGAAAGAGAATTGATAGCAAAATTGTTTCGGCAGAAAGTTGGTCATGGGATCGACTTCAACTGTCTCTGACGAGTTGTAACGGGATGCTGAGAAGACAACGCATTGATGATGCCGAAGAAACGTATGAGAATGTACTAAGTCTACGGTCCAACGCTATGAATTATGCTAATTACTATAGCAGAGAACTTCGGACAAGATGCTTTTATATAACTTACCTTGAAAACACGACCAAGTTGCAAAAACGAAGTCAGCCCACTTCTGTAGGTCGACTAGAAACTGCTACCATACCAAAGACCGCACCATCTTGGTCTTCATATCTTTGATTCCAAATATTACTCTTACTTGCTTAATCTCCAGATCATTCTTGTAATAAACTAAATTTTCCTAATATTTAAAATTTCCTGTTCCTGGATCATACTATCCGCAGGACACTTACTGATTATTCTCATTAATTTCATGGCTCCTATCTTAACCACATATGCGTGATTATAAATGAAAATAAGAAAGAAGTCCGCATTTCTATGTACTGAGACCTATTAAAAACCCATAAATGCAGATTTACTTTAGATTTATTTTCCTATCATGTTTACATGGTTAGGATAGGAATTAAATAATCAATGATAATTAGAAGTCTCTGTCTTGCAAATGCTATTCACCAGGACCAGAGCATTATAAATATAGGCATAATTTTAATGAAGAACAATTTTTCACTAGGATTAATTGACATTTATTTGATAATACTAGGATCAAGGGAACGTCTCTTTATGGCAAAACATGCGGCTGAGTCACTATGATCCACTTATCTTTGTGTTTCCTTTCTTTCAGTCCTTGAAAAATACAGGAGAATTAATGATAAATTTGTACGTTATAATAATATATGAAGAGAAAATAATCCTTTACTAATGGGAATTTGAGATCTCGCTATCCTGGTAATGTTGTTATGAATTTAAGCGTGTGACAAGGTATAGGTTGAGCAGACCTGTTGATCGATGCAGATGGGGTTATCTACATGATACACAGCCATAAAAGTTTGTAGGTCCGAAATTCACTATTTGATTAGTCTCTAATTTGGTTATCGTGCTCACACCTTACATAACTCATGAGCTTTGCATAGACACGGCAGTTATAAACCAACAAAAGTAGATGTTTTATTACCTCATGGTGAAAATATAAGGAAGTCTGATGAGGATGAAGCAATGCAGTGGCGACTGCATCTAATTCATCTGTTACACATCTGCTGGCATGTAGAACCATGAACCTACTGACAAAATCATGAGATTCCTTATTTGGTGGGTAATAAGGGGTGGTTAGCATCTCAGAAGTCGACTGTAGTGCTTGTCTTAGTGCCTAGTACAGTTTGCTTAAATAAGGCTTTTATGTTATTTCAATATGTCAGGATGGGGCAGATGTATACTCAGCATGGATTCATCGAAATCGGATGATTAAGCGTCGGCAACTTTTATTACCAAATCAAATCGCAAGGCTGAGGTTACTTATTATACATTTCAGACCAGACTAATTTAAGATTCCCTTCCACACTCCTTTCGAAGAAGAAGACTTAAAGGAATGTTTCTAATATGGCGTAAGCCACTGAAAATTGCGACAACAAATTAGCATTGAGCAGAAATGAAAAGGAGTCATGTCTTCTTTCTTCCTTTGTTAACCTTCATTAGAGTCTTATAAGTTGACATTTTAAGCGTATCCAGTTAGAATGATGGACTCCTCAGATTTGAGCTCCAGTTGGCGCACTAGAAAGCTATAGGCAAACAAAAGTTCCACAATGAAGGATATTTACTGATGGGCCGAGTTCTTAGGCCCTGGGACGAACTATTATTCTGTGTACCCTGAAAATACTGATTCACTCGGAGAGGAGAGGGGTTTAGCTTCACTTCAAGTAAACTTATGAACGTGGCTCGTTTTATTAGGAACTATAATCACGGCTGTTAAGGCTGATCTCTACTGTCACAAATTTTCCATATTACTCACGCTTCTTAACTATCAGACTTTATTACGAACTTCCGAGTATGACCTAATTCTTTTTTTAAATCATTCTGATCAGTTATTTGCAGAAGATCATCGCCATTTGCTTATGCATGATTTGATTGCGCGCTCTCTCCTCATTGTCATTTTTTATTTATTCACACAAAATGTCTAAATAAAATTCTCAAATCTCGTGCTAGAAAGGGAGTTTATGCCAAAACATATTTTGAATTTTATGAAAAAGCTCTGAATTCATAGCTATTCAAAAATGTGATAACTATAAGTTTCTTCACTGCACAATATTAACGAATTAGTTGGATTTTTACCTTCTGAAAATTTAGCTATAATAATGTGAAATGTTCACTACCTGACTGTTAACTGGTATTGTTTGTCCATTACTGAATACCCACAGGTTTATGCAGTTTCCAGTTTTTACGAATAATCATGTGTGTATGCACTGTGTTATTTTTGCTAACAGTTATGAATATAAAGATGGAGAGAGCCCTCAGATCGCGAATGAGTGGAAGCTTTCACTAAGTCCCCTTCTTAAGGCGAGTGCTGTCTGCAATATATCTTGCCATAATGCTCTCATCGATGCAACGGCAGTCCGCATAGAGCAGCACTTACCCCTGGATGATGGAGGTGACCTGCCGGACAGTCAAAGTGGTAGTGGTAGCAGCGGTTATAATTTGTGTATCGTCTACACAGATGACAACTGTCGAGAGATATTCACTTACTCTTATCCAACTGCTGTATATCTCAAGCGTAAGGTAAGCCTTATGTTCAGCAAAAGATTTCCAATTAGATTATTTTTCTTTATGATATGTGATTCATCCTCCATCGTGCCTTTTATGAATCTCC